TGTGTGTGTGTGTGTGTGTGTGTGTGTGTGTGTGTCAGTATGAACATAGTGAAGTGGTCGTCCCAGGGGATGCTGCGACTGACGCAGGAGGCCATGAACGAGCTCTTCCAGCCCACTATTGTCAATATTGTCAAACACATTGGTGAGACACAGACACTCGGACAAACAATTAGATGCCAGCATTGAGTTTTCCTGACAACTGAAGTTCACCACAGGTTCTCTTTCATGTTTGGAATGAATGCCCTGTCCCCCTGACAGAGGAGCTGATGGTGAAGCCGGAGGTACGTGGCGTTCGTTTCCTCTTCCTCGTTGGAGGTTTTGCAGAGTCGCCCATGCTGCAGAAAGCAGTCCAGAAGGCTTTTGGGAGGACGTGCCGCATCATCATCCCCCACGATGTTGGCCTGACCATACTGAAAGGCGCCGTGCTCTTCGGGCTGGATCCCACTGTGGTGAGAGTTCTGGACACTCTGTTAATGTGGACGTTTCTTTTCAACACATTTTCTGATGACCTCTCCATCACAGGTCCGAGTGCGTCGATGCCCCTTGACCTACGGCGTTGGTGTGTTGAACCGGTTTGTGGAGGGGCGCCACCCTCGAGATAAACTCCTCATCAAAGAAGGCCGCGAGTGGTGCACCGACATCCTCGACCGCTTCGTGTGCCTAGACCAGTCGGTGGCTCTGGGTGAGGTCGTGCGGCGAAGCTACACGCCCGCTCGCCTGGGCCAACGAAAGATCATCATCAACATCTACTGCAGCGCGACAGATGACATCACGTACATCTCTGACCCTGGCGTCAGGAAATGTGGCACGATAACTTTAGACCTACCGGAGCCATTGCCTCTGCCGGGCGCAGTGGGGGGAGCAGGAGCAGGAGGCCAGGAGAGGAGGGAGATCAGAGCATCCATGCAGTTTGGGGACACAGAGATCAAAGTTACAGCCGCTGACGTCATGTCTAACCGCTCTGTGCGGGCTTCCATAGACTTCCTGTCTAACTGAGGAGGAGCAGGAAGTGGAGACGAGGAAGTAACTGATTTTGAGGATGATAATTTTAGAAAAAGCGGTACTTTGGGAGTGGGCCCCGATTATTGTGGGAAGGCGAGGACCTTTGGATTCCGAGTAGAAACTCATGACATTTAGGCTTTTCATTTAACCACTAGAGCAGAAAAAACATCATGAGAGGAACTAAAAAGAATGAATATTCAACTCAACCGTGACATGCTCTCTAAAAACAAACATGTCAGCCCTCTGGCTTCAATGGAGTGAGACGAACAGGTGAGGTACTGAAAGATTATCCAGCCTGCATGAGAACTTCAGCCTCTGGGGACATTTATAAATCAGTTACAGGAGAGACTCGCCTGAATCAATAAACTACCTGGAGTGACGCTCACTCATATACGTATTAAATAAATGTTAACGTGAATTGCCTTCTCTCTAATACACTTAATAATACCTCATTTAAATCCTATTTCAATACTCAACATATGAGATTTTGATGCCACTACCTGAGATGGAGCTTTGACTCTTCAGCGCCATTGTGATGATGCACCACTTAGTGGTAAAAACATTGAACTACAAGCTGAAATTCTTGGAATACAGAAATTGTCAGAATAATTATGTAGAAGGAAGGACTGTGATTTCAATGTGTCGCTTACAGGGTATTTAAAAGAAGAGTTTCATTTATAATTTAAATTCCATGTCTGACTGATGTTACCCTGTATGTGTTTCTATTTTTTTTTTTTTTTTTAAACCTGAAGACATCAGCCTGTCAAGTCAAAATCAGAAAATGACCTCTTTATATTCTGTATGCTGTATTAAGATGTATCCATGGTTATGAATAAACTAAAACAGAACTTGCAATCCCGATGAATGCTCTGAACATTCACCCAATCTCCTCTTCATTGTGCAGGTTAAAAAGGCTCCTCCTGAACCAATTATATATGACCGTACCTTTTTCCAAATACACTCACTAGGTCTGTGATGATTGGCGATCAGATTGTCTATCAATGATTAAGGGATGGATTATTTTTTTCCTACGCTAATATTAAGGCAATTTTTAACCCACCCTCAGAAATAAGATGTTACCTGGATAATCTATAGAATATGGGCCCCACTTTGCATTTAAAGATGTTTCTGCTGCAGCAACATGTCCTTCTGAGCCTTTCATTAGCACAGATTAGTGATTATTAAATCTTTAACTACTAACTAGTGTGCATCTCTGTTCTCCATATGCCTGTATCACTCTCCAAAGACAAAACACAGACGCACGGAGCCAACAGAGAGTCAACAGAGACAAAGTTGTTCTAGATAATAAAATAAAACCACAGTGAAATGTACTGCCTATTTCCTTTGACAATGATCAATCACTTCCCCACACATTTACAGACTACAGTTTGATTTCAGCTGTGAATTTATTGATAAGAATGGTCCAATAAATAGTTTCCCACAGCGCATACAATGAACGGTTCAGAACTGCTCGACATCAGTGCTCAATTTTTCATGTTACAGTTTGTCACGTAACAGAGAAAAAACTAACCAGATTGGAGATGACAGAACGGCTCCTTCAGGTCAGAGAGGAGCCGCCGACCTTCAATTGACAGGAGTGTGTTTGTTTCAAAACCAATGGGGGGGGACTGATCTCATTCTTGTATTTCAAAATCATTTCCCAGTAACATGGCCGCAGGCGGAAACAAACAGCGCGTGAAATGTCTAAAAGCTAATCTGCAGATGGAAAAAGACAACACGAGAGACGTCAGCCGTCTTTGACAATGTCTAAAGAATCTGTCATGAAATTGAAGGATGAACTCGCAAACGTGTACGACTGGTTACAACACCTCATTTTATCTAGAATTGAAATCCAAATTCAGGTCGAACCCATTGAGACACATTAAACACAATCTTAATTCAAATGTACCTTGACCGTCTCCCTGCATTTAGATTTTAATACCAGTATAAAATGGGGTTTTCTTCCTGCTGTCCCTTAGTGAGCGTGGGGTCTACCGCGGCCTCTCCCCCTGCCGGCACCTGGAGGTCCATCCATAGAGCTGCGGGGGTTCTTGATCGTCTCATCAACTGACAGGATGAGGCAGGCGGCCTCTGATGCTGCTGTCAGAGCGTTGATCCGCACGATGGACGGCTCCCAGACACAGGCCACGAAGTTGTCCGCTATGTCCTCGTTGTTGATGTCCACCCCGTACCACATACCACCCTAACACGAGAAGAGAAAGATGAAGCAAAACATACAATAATCTAAAGGAACACAATGTAAATGACTATGACGAGTACTTTTCCTCAGTGTTGTGAAAGAGTCAGTGAGCGTGTTATTTCATCTCACCTGTGCGTGTTTGGCGCGCAGTTTGTTCAGGATGTTGGTGGCGTCAAAGCCGGCATTGTCACACAGCTGCCTGGGGATGATCTCCAGGGCTTTGGCGTATGCGCCGATCAACAGCTGCTGTTTTCCAGGGATGGTCCTGGAATAATCCCGCAGGTACTTTGACAACTCCATCTCTATGGCTCCTCCACCCGCAACAACGGAGTCGTTCTGGAAACGAGTTGATTACGGTTAGCTTTTGCCATCAGTGTGCAGAGTGGTCGACAAATTGAAGTGGATCACGTTTCTGGATCAGTAAAGATCCAGCCATTTGGCATCTCCACAAAAAGCAATACAAGAGTCAAGTATACTGCAACAATGATTTAAACCCACTTTGTCAAATGTACCAAAAAGAGCACTGCCTGTTCTAAACGTGCATGTTTGGAATGGGTTGTTTGCTTGAAAGGTTCTTGAGACAAACATCGATTGTGTAACCTCTCTGAGGGTCTTCTCTGAAAATATCAGACTATCCTGCACTTTAGACAGTTACAAAATAATAGTGGACTGTTTTAATGTTAACAACAGTAAGTCATCCAAACTCACATCCTTTTAGTCGAGGGCAACAACTCAACTAACAATAAATTACATTTGCAAGAAACTGTTCTGCCCATAAAACCAAGATACTAATTATTAGCTACAACCAACCACAACTTACACTTTAACATGTTCCCATAAATTCTATAACAATCACTTTGTACAATCACATGGTGCAAAAGATTTCTCAGACTTTGTAACTAACACAAGTCAAACAGGTGGAATCAGCAGTAACACAGTGCTGTTCATAACGAACACTGTTCTTATTGTGACTACACATATTGAGCTCTCGTGCACTTGCTGGTAAAGCCACTCACATTGTCTCCACATATCAACTGACCTTGATGGCTCTGCGTACGATCATGATGGCATCGTGCAGCGATCGCTCTGTCTCCTCTGTGAACTGTTCCGCGCCGCCCCTGAGGATGATGGTGCACGTCTTTGACTTCGGGCAGCCTTTGAAGATGTTATACCTGCGGACACAGACAGGATAGGTGTGAGCTGTGGGGGAGTCGTCATTTGAAGTTGTTCTGTAAAAAAAAAAAAAAAAGGACAAAACTGAACTGGTCCCTCTTACCGCTCTCCTCCAACCTGGACCTCCTCAAAGACTTCACACAGTCCCAGGACGTCATCTGTCAGACTGCTTACTGAGGTCTGAATGGAGCCGCCGCATGCCTGGAGGGCACATAACACACAGTCAGTCAGGAATTATTCAAACTACTTATTACATCAACATCCAAATTTTATATATATACACACACACACACACACATACATATGCATGTGTGTAACTGTGGAAGTCCTACCATCATGGTCCTCTTCAGATCCTCCTCCTGCACTCTGCCAGCACAGAACAGGTCTCTGTCAGCAAAGTACTGAGTGGCCACATCACCGATCGGCAACTTTGACAGAACCACCTTGGCTCCTGACTGATAGATCTTATCCAGTTTGTCGTACAGGATGTTCCACTCTGCGTCCACAATGGCCTGGTAGTCCTGCACAAATAGGAGACGGGAGAAATCATAGAATACACAGCCTTTTGGGTCATTGTTTGAAATACTAATTACTGTGTCGTGGACTTCATACCTGCACACACTTCACACGGACTTCAGCGTTGTCCTTCTCTGCCTTCAGCTCCAGCTCCACATTGAGCAAAGCAATCTTTGGATTCTCGTAGCTTTTGGGCTGCATCTCAAACCCAGCGTAGGAGAAGGTCTTCTTGAACGCAACCCCAGCAACCAAATGAGAATCCTGCAGAGTTAGAGTACAGAGAGTGAGGTGAGAGAGTCCCAAACAGAGGGAGGAAGAGGGAATTGCATTTTCTTTTACTGCCTTTTTTTTTATTTTTATGAAAGCTTTATTTCAAATCTCATCATGACATTGCTTCAAGTGCTGAACTCAAGGCACCAACCTCAAGGCCTCCTCCCTGGACCTTCTTGATGCCAATCATCTTGAGAGACAGCAGCTCATCCAGAGACATGACAGCATCCACCACCATCTTGGAGAAGAAGTCCTTCTGACCAGCAATGAGCTTGGAGTTCATGGCTGTGGCGGCACACTTCTCCAACAACTGCCTCTGCTCTCTGAGATGAAACAAGGACATTTGAAAACGACAACTTAAAGACACAATGTAAAAAGTGTATTCCTCATAAGATAGATAGGTAATACATGGCAGCCGTGTAAATAAAAAGCGGGCACTCACTGCTTATCGTCTTTCTTCACAGGGACAGCGATCTCCTTGATCTTGTTAACAGCGAGGTTGGTGGCGGTGCGGAACGCTCTGATGATGGTCTGAGGGTGGAGGCCCTCCTCCACGTACGGCTTCAACTGCTTCAGGAACTCAGCAGCCAGGAGAGTGACGGAGGTGGTGCCGTCCCCTACCTGAGGATGGGAGAAAAGAGGAGGTTTTAGTTGGAAATTTTCTTCATAAAAGTTTCTACTTTGTGACAGATTCCACATCTAGACTCACCTCAGCATCCTGGGAGCGAGCGATGTCTACCAAGGTCTTGGCAGCGGGGTGAACCACATCCAGCAGTTTTAGGATGGTGGCTCCATCGTTAGAGATTGTGGCCTTTCCTGCAAAACACAGCATTCACACATTTATTTTAAGGGAATTGTAACGACTCCTGTAATCCATTCACTATTCAACTTTCTGTCCCCACCTCTGCCATCGACCATCAGTTTGTCCATCCCTCTGGGCCCAAGGGTGGTCCTGACAGCCTCAGCAATCACCTGAAATTAAAATTCAAACAATGTTAAATTGTGCTACAGATAGGAAATGAATATCCACACAGTCATTGAGAGCAGAGCTTGCTTTCTGACCTGGCAGGCATTGATGTTACTGATGAGCTGAGGAATGCCCTGAGACGTGTCCGTCCCCTCTTTCAGCAGGATAACTGGTGTGGGCTGCAGGGGAACAAATGATTTGACGGTTAAATGTCACAGACAGAAGCTGAAGAAATCAAGTACGCTGAACCACCCAAAAAAATATATATACTTGAAACAGCAAAGTTTGCTTCACCAGCACTTGTCACTGGAACTTATAATTCTCAAGCTTACTTATTGTTTAACTTCCCCATGGTCATAAAATAGCAAGGAGGCTGTTCAACACAAAGTTGACAAGAAAACACCACAGCACTTAACAGAATTAATGACCAATAGAATAATGTCATCACTGTTCACCATAACGATGTTTCAATAATATAAAACGTAATGTTACAAATAAAATTGTCCAATGCAACACCCAGCAAATAAAAAAAACTAGTAGTAGTAGCTTTAAAAACAGTGAAACACGCTTCATTAAAGTAAAAATATTGTCCATGAATGTTTCCATATTCTAATAGTTGTTTGAGTCTCACAAAGCAGAACTAGATTACTCATCACTGTGCTTCACTACAATCGTTTAGGCCTTAAGAAGGTTGAGATACACAAGCTGAGGA